AGAACCAACGTACGTTTCACAATGCCCACAATAAGTGTTACCCCATTAACTCCTTTCTAGATGTCTCCGGTTTTAGGTAATAAAAATGCTTATTCCATACGAGTAACGCACTCATAATAAAGGAATACAAAAGTGTTTATTCCATATAAGTAATGCACTCTTAATAAAGGAGGAATCACGGAACAAAAAGTTCGACACAAACTCTGCAAGCGTCAAAGTTTTTTCCATACGAAAAACAATGATGATAACATCTCAAGGTTGGTATGTATTTTTTCTTTACTTTCAGAGCGAAATGATTCCAATAAGAAAAATAAGCATGAGGAAGTGCAGGTCCTGGTGAATTCTGTCACTGAGGCCACTGAAGTCAGTGAAGCTCAAACGGTAGCCTTAAAAAAAAAAATCAGAAGTGACAAATAATTGTCACCAATGATAAAATCCTACAGATGTTGGAAAAAAATCTCAACGCTCCATCCAAAAAATTCTGTAAAGTTTCATACTGAAATACATAATCGATCCCTGGTGGAAATAATTTTACAACGATTTACGTATTTCTATGACAAATTATAATCTTCTACAACAAATCACAAATTTGTAAAAATTGTAGAAATTCACGGTAAATTGTAGTAAATTGTAATAAATTGTAGTAAGTTGTAGTAAGTTGTAAAAAGTAATAGAAAATTGTAACACATTTTTTACGAACATTTTTAGAGACGTAGTAAATTGTAGAAGTTGTAGATTATTGTAAAAATCATAACTATTTACAACTATTTACAACATTCTGCAAATATTTTTTATGAGAAACGTAGTAAATTATACAAGTTGTAGATTATTGTAAAAATTACAACCATTTATAAATATGTACAACATTCTACGAATATTTTTATAAAAATTATATTGCAAATTTGTAGAAGTTGTACATTCTTGTAAAAATTACAACTATTTAAAACTCCCTACAACATTCTGCAAATATTTTTTTCAGCATTCTATAAAAGATTCGATACATTTTTTATATTTTCATAAAAAGTTACAAATTGTATTAAATTATTAAAAAATCTTAAGAAATGCTTATAATTGCCTCTTTACTTTGTATATTTCTACACACAACAATTCAATGTTGTAAGTTGACGTATTTATTCTAATACTTACTTAATCTTTACTTGTGAAAGTGTTTTATTACAATAACAGAAAAGAGAGAAAAGAAATAATTGCAAGTTGTTTTATTTATATTATAAATACATATGACAATTATACAATCTAATTACTAATTACAAAATATAGTTTACCTATTAATCATGTAAACAACCATAGGGAATTTTACTCACATATTTGAACTTATCTATTTCCATAAATATACATGGCCTGACTAAATTTGCTGGCTTATGTACTGTTAAAATACTATTAGTGACATCACATTCCTTTATATGCTCAATAGGGATCGAAGAAAATGTTAAATTTGAAGTTCTTAATCTAAAAGTGTTTATAAATAATATTACTTCTTCCACATTTCCGAATTTTATCAAACAAATTTTATGAATTTGACCAATTGAACCATTATCTAATTGCACAATTGAATCATTTATTTTCTTGCAGCGTTGTTGTTGATGAGAAATTGTTGTATATCTTACATCATTATGTAGCACGCGTATTACACGCGGGGCCCTATTTGTTACGCGCGTAGCCCAGCGTAGGCAGGTGTGGTAGGGCGGCGTGCGGGCCCGGCAGAGCGAGCGTTACAGCGACACGCGACGGATCGCAAGCTCGGAAGCTCTCAATTTGTAAAGCGTATAACCAATAAAGAATACGTTTTGAAGTAAACTCGGCAGCCTACAATTCAGAAGTGGGATAGTGAGTCTGTCGTTAGCACTGCTGTGTGCGTGCTAGGAAAAGTCCAGTACGGTGGACAAAAGAGAGGGGCGGTAAGTCGCGTCGATTTCGTTTCGGCTGTGTGCGGGCGATCACGCGAAGAGGTTTCCGTCTCTAGCACTGCTGTGTGCGTGCTAATAAAAGTCCAGTGCGTGGCGCGAGAAAAAGGTGCGATAATTCGCGTCAATTTCGCTTCGGCTATACGCGAGCGATTACGCGAAGAACTATCGGCAAAGGAAATCGCGGATCGGCAACGATTTCATCCCGCGTACGAACGATATATACAGTGTTCGAGAAAAGGCGCAATAGCGATACGGGCACTGAGAAAAACGTGCTCGCCGCCCGTGTGACAAAGATAACCGATCGTACCGGCACGAACACGAACAGACACGCGTCGCGCGTGGAAAGAAAAGAACGGCGAGACGGTGCAAGCGCGCGAGTGAGACTATCGAATCGGGCGCATAACGAAGAAATTTCGAGATGGATCCGGATACACTCACCGTAGAACAACTAAAAAAGGTACTGCGGCAACGTCAATTGTCTATAACCGGACGAAAGGCTGAATTAATTGCCAGAATGCAGCAGGCGGATCCTTCGGGCGCATGGATGAAAGAAGCGGCCCAGCAGCATCCGGAGGACGACGACGAGGAGGAACATGATCAAGAAAAAGGGGCAAGACAGACAAGAAATGACACGCATATTACGGTACGGGCGAATGAGGACATAGCCCGACGAGAAGCCGAGTTAATGGATAGAGAGCGCGATCTAATGCAAAGAGAGATTGCGATCTTGCGTCGAGAAAACGACATGTTGCGGACGTCGCCGAGGAATAACCTATCTACGGTATCCCGGACTCCACTCAACATCAAAAACGTTTGTGAGATCCTCAGCGAGTACGATGGCGCAGGCGATGACTTCGAGCGATGGAAAACTCAGGTCAACTTGCTAAGAGATACGTACGAGCTCGACGAAAATGCCGCGAAGATATTAGTCGGCTCGAAACTGCGAGGGAAGGCAGCGGATTGGTATTCCTCTATGGCCGAACATTTATCTATGAGAGTGGATAGGCTGCTAGAAAAGATGGGCGCGATGTTCGATCAGCCAATGAGCAGGCTGGAAAGAAAACGTATATTTGAGAATCGAGTGTGGAAGAGAAATGAGTCTTTCAGTGATTATTGCCACGATAAAATAATTAAAGAAAATAAGGTTCCGATCCCAGAGGAAGAGATGGTCGAATACATTATCGACGGAATACCTTGGAAAGCTCTGAAAAATCAGGCGAGGATGCAATCCTTCTCGACAGTGCACGAGTTGACGAAAGCGTTTCGTCGAATTACGTTAGAAGCACCGGACACCTTTCAAGCTCATCGTGAAGCCTCGAGTCCCAAGAACATGAAGCTCAAGACCGCATCTCCTAAAGAAGCTTTGGGAGGCAGCCCCAAACCAAAAACAAAAGGTCTAGTGAGATGCTACCAATGTGATGAGGTGGGCCATTACGCGAAAGACTGTCCTACGGCAAAGGAGAAGCACAAGAAGACGAGCAAGGACAAGAAGACGGAACGGGGCAACAAGAAGGCCGAGCGTCAAGTGAACTTGGTCGACGGAACCGAGCAGTCAGCCTCGGAGAAAAGCGAGTCCGAGAGTGATGACCAGCCAGAGGAAAACGACAAAATCCACTTTGTGGATACGCACGAAGAACTTCGAGACGAGTTCCAGAGGGTGGCAATCCTACGAGTACGAGGAGGTGCACCAGTCTCATGCACGGTCAGGATCGACACTGGATGCCCAATTACTCTTATTCAGGAAAGTGTAATAAATATTAAAGACTTAAAACCTGCAGGACAGGAATGGAATAGATATCACGGTATTAATAATTCCAAACTCCTAGTGAAGGGAGTGATTAAAGCCAATCTCACGATGGATGGCTGTAGTAAATCGGTATCTATAGGCGTAGTATCGGATAATACGATGTCTATTCCATTACTGATAGGTAGAGACACATTAAAATTCTTTGACTATCGTTTGACAAACAGTCCAATGTTAGATAAGGCAGTGAGTGAGATATTGTTAATTTGCAATGATTCGAATAACACTGATATTAATGTAAACCCTGATCTCCCACCTAATGTTTGCGAATTGTTTAAGGATACATTCATTAATTATTATGTAAAGCCGGTTAGGCCGGAGGTTCCTGAAGTACAAATGGAAGCTAAGCTGGTTTTAAAAGAGAATAAATTGGTACAGTTTGGTCCTAGGAGGTTAGGTTACGCGGAAAAGGAAAAACTTCGACAGATACTGAACGATTTGTTGAAACGGAATATAATTAGAGAAAGTGTTTCAGAGTATGCCTCCCCAATCGTGCTAGTTCGAAAAAAGAATGGAGAAATTAGGATGTGTATAGACTACCGTGCAGTAAACAAGCTGTTGGCACGAGACAATCATCCGATGCCTCTGA